CTTATCATGGTTGTCAGCAGTCAAGTCAAAGGAGACAGTCTTCAGTCACAGAGTCCTCATCTAGGAAGTTAAGGCCAGCCTCCAATATCTGCGCAGAGGAATGAGGTCTCGGCGTAGTCAGGGTCAGGATCTTCTCACATGGAGTGTGGAGCTGAGTGACAGACAGCCCACTGCCTGTCTTGGCTTGCTCTGCCCTTTTGTGGGCTGTTTCCTCCTGGAATAAGAGAAAGGGAGGGATTGAGTGAAATGAAAGTGCGTGACAAAGCTGTCACAGCTGGTGTCGAGGGGAAAACGGTTGTAAAGTGAGCCGAGGGAGTGAATAAGCAGTGTGGATGGCACGCAGGTTTAGGAGGGAATGGGTGAGTGCAAGTGAGTGTGCAATAGCTAGACGGATAGATCATGAGCTTTGTTGGAAGGTGGGCATTGCTGGCGTTTCCTACAGATAGTTGAGACAGCAGTAACCTGGGTGGCAATCTTGGACCAGACTAGCAGGGAAGTCCTGGAAGAAGAGGGCATCCCTGCTTTGCATCATCCCATTTGCCAGGACTTCAAGGAGTTTGCCCACAATGTGGAGTACCATATTCTCCTTGTCTGCCATGTCCAGGAAAGTGTCAAGAAGTGTGAAGGGCTAGTCTGGGTTCACAACTGTCTTTTAGAGACAGCATGGATACCGAATACAGCGCCTGGTAAAATCCAGCTCGCATTGGGTTAGAGGAGTGCCATGAAGCAGTGTGCGACAGGTTTAAGATGGCTACGTGAGGAAAACCTGCTAGGCCTCACGGTGAAAAACTCTGAAATTTCCTCCCTAAACTTCTTTCATTCTCAGCTTCTGTTTCTTTCTTTAAGGTAGTCCTTAACAGGACCTTTATTAATTAAGCTTTTGACCATCTGTCCTAATGTTGTCTTGTGTGGCTTAGTGTCTAACTATGCTTTAAAATACTACTGTGAATGATCTTAGGGCATTATGTGGAAGTCACTTGTTATATGTTTAAGTTGTTGTTGTTTTTTATCACTTCTAATATAATGCAACAAGCAAACAAATCTTCCTGGTTCTGCTAGCATTCCATAGGGAATCTCTGTGATATCCCAGTCCGCTCCTGAACCACTCCAAACACCATCACTGCTTCCCAGGTAATCACTGGAACTGAAATAGAATTTGCTGGAAAAATACTGCAGGTCTAGCAGCATCTGTGAAGAAAAATGAGAGTTAACGTTTCAGGTCCAGTGACCCTTCCTCAGAACTTAACTACCTTTTATCTTCTTCCATCCCATCTTCTAGGGCCTCAAACATTCCTCCCAGGTGAAAAAAAAATTATATGCACTTCTCTCGATTAGGTGTTTTGTATTCTCTGCTCACAATACAATCACCTCTGCATTGTAGAAACCAATTGCAAGTTGGATGACTGTTTTGCATAACATCTTTGTTCAGTTAGAAAGTTTAACCCTGAGCTTCTGATTTCATCATTTTAACCTTCTATCCTACTTCTAATCTGTCTGTCACTGATTTTATTCTACTCAACAAAACTCAACCTAGCATGAGTGCCTGCACCTCACTTTTAGATTAGGCATTTTACAGCCTGTTGGTTCACTGATAATCCGGTCAGGAAAGAAATCTACCTTCTTTACCTGGCTATACTACATGTGACTTCAGACTTACAGCTATGTAGTAGACTGGTAAATCACCCCTGACTAGTTTAGAAAGCCACTGAGCTTTATCAAACGGTTGAAGAAGAGAGTCTAAAAGGAATAAAATTGAAGAGATAACATGGCACCAATCTCCGCACTAGAATCAACAAATGGCAAATCCAGCCCTGTCAGCCCCATAAAGTATTCCTTACTGATGTCTGGAGGGGCTTGTGCCACACACTGGGGGAGCCTCCCATAGTCTCGTGAATCAGCAGTCTGACATTATTCGGTGTCTATGACTCTGTTCCAGACATCACCATCCCATTCCCGGGACTGTCCTGTTTCCGAGACAACAAGGTGCAGGGCTGGATGAACACAGCAGGCCAAGCAGCATCATAGGAGCAGAGTGCT